AGGGCTCTGAATTGGCTTTAACAGATTCTCATTTGTCTTCATTGATTTTACTTGATTTTCAAATGTTTTCAAATATTTTCATTTGATCCCATTTATTTTCATGCATTTCCAATTATATTCAGCTCTTTTAATTTCTTTTACCATGTTTTCATTTATTTTCACTCCTTTGCACTAATTTTAATTTATTTCCAATTATTTTCAGTTTTTTCATTATTCCTCTTCACTAACTTGCACTTATTTTTTTATTTATTTTCACTTACTTTCAGTTATTTCCACTTTCTTTAATTTCTCTTTTTTTCCATGTTTTACATTATGTTATTTACATTAATTTTCACTTACTTCCTTACTTCTATTTTCATTAATTTTCACTTAGTTTCTTTTTTCATTTGTTTTCACTTTGTTCATTTATTTCCAATATTTCTCACTTCTTTGATTTGATTTTCATTTCTTTTCACTTTATTTATGATTATTTTCCTCTTATTTTCATTTATTTTCCCCTCTTCACTTGGCAGCTGAGGCCCGGGAATGTGAAAGCCTCTCATCCCACAGCTACAGGAGCAGGCTGGGCTTCGGGGTGATACCAGAACGCCAAATTTCCCCCCCGCTCAAATCCTCCCAACCCTCTCAGACTCACCGGCCACCTCCAGGGAAGCATTCCGGCTGGTGGCTTCCCCCAGGTAATTCCTGGCCACGCAGACATAAACCCCCTCGTCGGGCTTTCCCCGCCTCCCGTGCAGGATGCGGAGGAAGAAGAGGGACCCTCCCGGGAGGAGGGTGCGGTGGGAGCGGGGATCCTCCCGGTCCGTCTCCACCCTCTCGCCGTCCTTGTACCACTCCACCACCGGGGCCGGGCGTCCCTCGGCCTTGCAGCTCAGTGTGGCCGGCTCCCCCTTGGAGACCAGGACATCCGTGGGGTGCTCCACGATGCGGGGAGCCGTGTCCTCCAGCTGGGCGTGGGATCCTGCAGGAGAATCAGGAGGGGTAGGGATGGGTTCAGGGAGCTCAGCACTCTTGGTTTGTGTGGTGCTTTCCTGGCTCCAGACCCTGCTTGGCTTGGAAGGCAGGAGGTGAGAGATGAAGTGTGGCCAGGTCCCAGCCCAGCACATCCCAGGGTGGGTGCTGTGGGAAGGCAGCAGGATCACAGAATCACAGAATTCACAGAATTATCAGGCTGGAAGAGACCTTCAAGATCATCGAGTCCAACCCATGCCCTGACACCTCAACTCAACCCTGGCACCCAGTGCCACGTCCAGGCTTGTTTTAAACACACCCAGGGATGGTGACCCCACCACCTCCCCGGGCAGCCATTCCAGAACTTTATCACCTTTCTGTGAAAAACTCCTTCCTAACATCCAACCTAAATTTCCCTTGGCACAGCTAAAGATCGAATCGGGAGGGCGTCAGGCAAGGCCAGTGGGACAAAGCAACTTCGCTTTGTAATGGCCTTTTCCACCCTGTTTCCACCCTGAAGAAACAGGGTTGGGGCTAAATTCTCCCCAGACTGGGATTTTTCCATCAGCTGCAAGTTCTGACTTTCTGTAGCAGAGCTGGTCATTCTGGGCTGCAGAAAATGCTTAAATTTTAACTTTTAAAAAGCCCCATATCGGGGTTGTGGGGCTGTTACAGAAAAAAACCCCTAACTTGCTAGGGCATGGGAATTAATAGATGGTCTTTAATGCCAGCATAATTAATGCTCATTAATGCTGGGGCCAGCTGGGTTGAACTGCTTGTGTCCCCAGCTATGCCTGGCGTGTCTTGGTAGTTTGGTCCCCAAGTGTCACTGCTGGCCCAGCGGCACAGGCACTCACCACTGCATGCCCAGGCACATGTGTGCACACAGGAGTGGGTCTGCATGCACCTGCACGTGCACAGACACACATGCAGCCGTGCACTGCATGTGTTTACACACACAGGTGCATGCTTGCACACGTGGACAGCCATGCAGGTGTGCACACACTCACACAGAGGCACTCACAGGTATCTGTGCACACATAGGTGCACACGTGCATTCACACACGTGCACGTTAACATGTGCGTTACAAGTGCAGGTGCGTGTGTGTACACATGCACTGCACATGGAGGTGCATGTACATGTGCAGGCAGTCACACAGGGGTATGCACACACACACATGCAGCCACACACATGTGTTTGCACACACACATGCACCCGTGTGCCTTCAGGCAGGGGCGTGCATGCCCTGACATGCACAGATGCATTCACGTGTGTGTGCATTCATGCAGGGTGTACATGCACACACACACCCCTGCACACATGCATGGGTGTCCTTACATACACACACGTGTGTGTGTTCAGACATGCAGAGATGCATGCACATGCACACATGCACATTCACACAGGGGTGCGCATGCACACACAGGCTGCACATGCACAGGGGCACACACAGGGGCATGCACATCCATGCACATCCATGCACGCTCAGATGGGGCCATAAGCCTACATTTACCCACATTGCTGCATGCACACACATGCACACTGCACACACCTGCACACACCTGTACATTGTATAGACATGTAAACACCTGCACAATGTACAGACATGCACATACATGCACTCATGCACACTGCCCATAAATGCAGACATGTACACATATGCACATTGCACGTGCATGCACACATGCATACATGCACATACATGCACACATGCCATGTTTTAGTTGAGGTGTTAGGGCATGGGTTGGACTCGATGATCTTTAAGGTCTCTTCCAACCCATAATTCTGTGAATTCTGTGAATATGCACACTGCACATACATGCACACATGCACACACATACACACATGCACACTGCACACATATGCACATACATGCACATACAAGCACACTTCCCATAAATGCACACATGCACACTGCACATACATTCACACACATGCACACTGCACATGCATGCACACACATGCACATGCGTACACACACAAGCACACTGCCCATAAATGCACTGCATGGACATGCACACACCCACCCCACACTCATCTCCCACCCGCACACGCCCTTCCCCTGCTCCCCCACACCCTGGGGCAGGACGTGGGCATAAGGGGCTGCAATGGGGTGCCCACGGGGTTGCCATGGGGATGGGACGCGGCTGCCATGGGGATGGAAGGAATGCTGCAGGGCACTGGGTGCCCCCGGGGGGCACAGCAGGGACCGAGGGGGCCGCAGCTGGGCCCGCTGGCTAATTGGGACAAGCAGGGGGTCAGGGCAGGCCCCTTCCTGTGCCCGGCTGGCTATGCAGGGGCAGGGCTTCCCATGAGGTTTGGGAACACCCCCGCCCCTCACCAGCCATCCAGTGCCAGCTGGAGGGGGGCAGACTAAAAAAGAGGGGAGAAGTTCAAAACTGAGTCAAAATGCAGGCAGGCACCCTCTGCCTCACTCCTCCTTCACCCCCACTCTGTCCCAGCTAGGGGTCATGGGGCTGTTTTGGGGACATGGGGAGAATTAGGGCACACGGAGCTGGTTGGAGGACGCTGGGATGGTTTAAGAATGTAAAGATAGTTTGGGAACACGGAGTTAGTTCCAGTTAGTAGTCTGGGGATTAGCCTGGGGACACAGGACTGGTTTGGAGACACGGGGTCTCTCCTAATTTTGTCTGGGAGTTGGTTGAGGCACACAGGGATGGTTTTGGGACAAGGGGCTGGTCCTGGTTTGAAAACTGGTGATGGATGTGGGGACATGAAGACTGTTTGAGGACACTGGGTTGCTCCTGGTTTGGGGTTTGGGGACTGGTCTGGGGACATGGGGACAATTTGGGGATGCCATGTCTGTCCCAGCTCAGGGTCTGGCAGTTGATGTAGGAGCATAGGATGGTTTGGGAACAGGGAGCTGCTTGCAGTTCAGGATTTGGGAACACATGACTGGTTTGGGAACACCAGGACAGTTGTGCCTTGGGGAGAGTGGGAGAGCGGGCTGGTCTCGGTTTGGGGTCGTGGACACGATCTAAGGACATCGCATCACTCCCAGGAGTTGGTGTGGGAACAGGGAGCTGGTCTCAGAATGGGGACACGGGGCTGGTGTGGGGACACTGGATCAGTTCCAGAGTTGAGACATGGGGCAGGTCCCGGTTTGGGGACAAGGGGACAGGTTGGGAATCCAGTGTCGGTGCTGGTGGGGTCCCAGCTGGGGCTGGGGTCTGTGGGCTACTTCCAGCATCCCGGCTGGACCAGGAGCAGGAAGTCGGGGACAGGGGGACAGAAAGACCGGGGAGCACGTACCGTTACCGGGGACGAGATCGGGCAGGTGGAGCGCGGCGATGGAGCTGTTGATGCCGAGCAGGAGCGAGGAGGAGTTAGAGCCTTCGGCTCCCAGCGAGTCGGCGAACAGGTTCATCTGCAGCAGCGTCTTCAGCAGGTACCGCAGCATCCTGCCCCGGCTCAGCTCGGCTCGGCTTGGCTGAGACCGGCTTGGCTCGGGTCGGCTCTGCACCACACTACCCGGCACGGCAAAGACTGGCTCAGCTCAGCCCGATCCGGCTGAGCCCGGTCCGACTCAGCCCGGTCCGACTCAGCTCAGTTCGGCTCTGCTCGGCTCAGTTCAGCCCGATCCGGCTCAGTTCAGCCCGATCCGGCTCAGTCCGATCCGGCTCAACCCGGTCCGGCTCAGCTCAGTTCGGGTCAGCTCAGCTGGGCTCGGCTCAGTTCAGCCCAATCCGGCTCAGCCCAATCCGGCTCAGCCCGGTCCGACTCAGCCCGCTCCGACTCAGCTCAGTTCGGCTCTGCTCGGCTCAGTTCAGCCCGATCCGGCTCAGTCCGATCCGGCTCAACCCGGTCCGACTCAGCCCGCTCCGACTCAGCTCAGTTCGGCTCTGCTCGGCTCAGTTCAGCCCGATCCGACTCAGTCCGATCCGGCTCAACCCGGTCCGACTCAGCCCGGTCCGACTCAGCTCAGTTCGGCTCTGCTCGGCTCAGTTCAGCCCGATCCGACTTAGCCCCGTCCGACTCAGTTCAGCCCGATCCGGCACTGTTCAACCCGGTCCGACTCAGTTCAGCCCGATCCGGCTCAGCCCGGTCCGGCTCAGCTCAGTTCGGCTCAGCTCAGTTCGGCTCTGCTCGGCTCAGTTCAGCCCAATCCGGCTCAGCCCGGTCCGGCTCAGCCCGGTCCGGCTCAGCTCAGTTCAGCTCAGCTCAGCTGGGCTCGGCTCAGTTCAGCCCAATCCGGCTCAGCCCGGTCCGACTCAGCCCGGTCCGGCTCAGCCCGGTCCGGCTCAGCTCAGTTCGGCTCAGCTCAGTTCGGCTCAGCTCAGCTGGGCTCGGCTCAGTTCAGCCCAATCCGGCCCGGTTCAGCCCAGTCCGGCTCAGCCGGGCTCCACTCGGTTCAGCTCAGCGCGGCTCAGCACAGCCCGACTCAGCCCGGCTCAGCTCACCTCGGCTCGGCTCAGCCTGCGGCACCGCCCCCCGGGTAGGGGACGGGCCAGGGCGGTGCTGGGGCGGGGTGATGGGGGTGTCCCCTGTTCCCTCCCCGTCCCCAAGAAGCGGATGGGGACGAAGGCGGGGGGTGGCCCGTATGGGGTGGGGGCTTCACGGAGGAGTGGAACTGGGGTGACTTTTTGAAGGGACAGAGGAAAAGGGGGGTGCTAGGGAGGAGAAGGAGGACGCAGCAGCTCCTTGGCTTCACCCCAAATTACGTGACACCACACGGGGCTGCTGTCACCCCCCACTCGGGACCCCCCCTCAGTGAACCCTGAAAGGCAGCACCACCCTGCACCCCACGGGGAAATGCGGCTGTTGGAGTGAGTAGAACACCCCAACAGCGGGGTGTGCTGGTAGGGGTAGGGACACTTTGGGGGTGCTGGGACCACCAGTGGCCTTGAATTTGTGGGGTCAGGGGGAAAACACGAAGAAATCAGCACATGGTGCCATTGAATCCGTAAGTAGCAATTGGCCGTTTAATTATTGTGCTGGGGCTGATGTGGAAAGCAATGAGCCTCCTTCAGCGAGCACCCGCGGGGGGGTTGGGGGAATTCATTAGCAAGGTTCATTATTGGGGGGGAGGGGCTCCTGGGGGCACCTCGTTAAGGGATTTTTTTACAGTGGCACTTGGAATAGGGTAAAAGTGGGGAAAAGGGGAAGTCGGGAGTGTGGGGAAGCTGGAGGGGGCTCAGGGAAAAAGAGGAGTTGGGGACAAGGGGCAGTGGGGAGGACCAGGGGCACATGAATCTGGGTGTGCACATCTGGGATATGGGGAGGGAGAAGGGGCTTCACATCTGCATGCACAGCAGCAGTGGAAGCGTGCCCACGTGTGTTTGCACATCTAGGTCCCCAAGGGCATTCACATCTGGAGGACACTTGGGGCACAGCTGGGGAGGGGGAAGGCTTTTCCACACACATCTGGGGCACCAAGGACCTCCAAGATGTTCACATCTGGGAGGGTTGAGTGGTGTGGGGAATGCAGCTGCCTTCAGACCAACAGCTGGAGAGTCCGTGAGGTCACAGCTGGGCACACAGCTGAAGGCACAGGGATACTCAAGCACATCTGCAGAACCAGGTGGTTTCTGTTTATGCACATCTGGAGGCATGAGATGCGTGCACATCTGGAGTCTGCACATCTGGAGAGCTTGCCCAGGCTGCTTTTCCACACCCAGAGCTGCACTGAGGCTGCAGATGGGTGCACATCTGACCCACTCAGCCTCAGCAGCATCCTCCAGACTCTCCATACCACACCGAATCTGCCAGGTGTCCGGTGGGCAATGCATTATTCATCTGTCCCTTGGAGCCAGGCACAGAGAAAGTAAATAAATATTAATTTAGTAGGAGCACAAAGCTTTTCCGCTTCTCCTGCTGGCAATGTGGCAGCACAGGGATTTCTCAGTAGGATCAGAAAAAAAAAAATGTATTCACGAAATAAGAGTTTTATCCGGCTATTACCTGAATAATTCTCTGGGATGGGAATTGATGGCAATGCTGGAATATCTAAAGCTGCTATGTTTCTCCACCTTCTCCTTTTGGGTCCCTCTGAAAAGCTGACCGGAGGAATGGGACATCACCAACACAGGATGGAAAAGGTTGTTAATCCATGGAAAACCCTTGGGCCCCTTTTCATGGAGTCCCTCGAAAATGTGAGAATTTTTAATGGGAATCCTGGAGGTTTTGGGAGCCGCAGGGATTAAAGCACCTCTGTATTAATCCCACTATGAGGCCTGAGGCTGCAGTGACGGGCTCCCAGGGGTGACACACACACATCCAGTACCTCCTCTGAGAGAGCTTGTGATGGGGAATGGAGACAAAGGAGCCGCCTCGTCCCGATGGATAATCCCCCTCAGATTCATCCCGTTAATCAGCTGGACAAACAGCGAGTGCAGGGGCATCGCCTCCTTGTTAGCAGATTTATTCTCACTGCCACGGCATTTAATTGCTGCTTGATCTGGCGATTAGCGACTGTTTGCCCAGGCTTTGCCCAAATCACCCTCCTCAAAGTTTTTAGATGGGGGAGGCTTCCTCCATACTTTATTATCCTCATTATTCCACGTTGGTTTTGCTGCTTTCTTATTCCTCCTGTTTTTCCCCAACCCTCGTTGGGCAGCATCGGGAAGCTGGGGGGAGGGGGTGGGGGAAACTGAGGCACGAAGTTTGGCCATAATGAGGAGCGACAAGATATTTGTCTGGGCAAATGAGCGGCTGGGTCTCCCCTCCCCGCTGCCAGGGGGAATCCCTGGCAGCCCCGTTATTAACATTCCCCTCGGGAGCCCCCCACCCCAAGCCAGGCGCTTGGCCGGGAAATGCGGCTTTTTGAATATTTATAGAGGTTGTGGCAGCACTTGGGGTGGGGAGGAGGGAAAGGGGACCACGGGGGCTGCTGAGGTGCGGGGTGGAGAAAAGCAGTGTTGAGGACTGGGGGTAGTGGAGATGGAGGGAATGGAGCTGGAATCCTTTAGGAATGACACTGGGTCAGTGTAGGGGATGACACTGGGATGCACTAAGGGATGGCACTGGGATGCTGTCAGGAATGACTCTGGGATACTGTCGGGGATGATGGTGGCATGCTTGAGAGGACAGTGCTGAGATGCTTTAAGGAATGATGCTGGGATGTTTTAGGAGAGCATAGTGTTCTAGATGATGAAAGTAGGATCCTTTGGGCAATGATGATGGATACTTTATGGAGTGACAAGACTGGGATTGTATAAGGGATAACTGTGATGCTTCAAGGAAAAATGCTGGGATGGTTTAGGGGAGCATATGGGAATGGCTGGGATGCTTTAGGGGATGATACTGTGATGATTTAGAGGATGATGCTCATATGCTTTAACAAATAATACTAGGATGTTTTAGGGCATGGAGCTGGAGTGTTTTGGGGAGCATACTGGGATGGTGTAGGGGATGACACTGGGATGGTGTAGGGGATGACACTGGGATGGTGTAGAGGATGACACTGGGATGCTGTAGGGAATGACACTGGGATGGTGTGGGGGATGACACTGGGATGGTGTGGGGAATGACACTGGGATGGTGTGGGGAATGACACGGATAGTGTGGGGGATGACACTGGGATGGTGTAGAGGATGATGGTGGGATGCTGTAGGGGATGACACTGGGATGGTGTGGGGGATGACACTGGGATGGTGTGGGGAATGACACTGGGATAGTGTGGGGGATGACACTGGGATAGTGTGGGGGATGATAAGGGATGCTGTAGGGGATGACACTGGGATGGTGTGGGGGATGACACTGGGATGGTGTGGGGGATGACACTGGGATGCTGTAGAAGATGACACTGGGATGGTGTGGGGGATAATGCTGGGATGCTGTAAGGAATGGTGTCAGGATGTACTCATGGATAACACTGTCTAAGGGGAGCACACTGGGATGTTTTAGAAGATGCTGACATGTTCTAGGGAATGTTACTGGGATTTTTTTCAGAGAACAGACTGGACTGTTCTAGGGGATGGCAGTGGAATGAATTAAGGAGAGATGCTGGAATATTTTAGGGGACTTTATGGGGCTTCAGGGTGTGATGCTAGGATGTGGTAGGGGAGAAAACTATCATGCTTTAGAAAATGTCACTGGGATGCTTTAGGGCATGAATCTGGGATGCACAGAGGGATGCCAGGATGTATTAGGGGATGATATTAAGGCACTGTGTAGTAGTGCATGGGAATGCTGCAAGCAATAATGCTGGAATGCTGTAGGGGATGGTGCTGGGATGCTTTAGGGGAATGATCCTGGGAAAGTTTAGGAAAGCACACTGGAATGATTTAGAGGATGACAGTGAGAGGCTTTAGGGGACAATGCCAGGGTGTGCAAAGGAATAACGTTGGGATGTGTCAGATGAACATGCTGGTATGATCTACAGGATGACACTGGGATGCTGTAGGGGTTTGATGCCAGGATATTTTAGGGGATGGTGCCAGAATTTTTTTAGGGGATGAT